CTCCGTAACTTCTTTCTGGGAGGTCCGCAGCAGATATGGAAGACGGTTTCGTAATTCCCGTCCGAAGACCTTTCAGCCGGTATACATTTCATTTCAAATGGCCACTTCGACCTACCATCCTTCCCTTGTGAGGCAAGTCATCAAGCAATATCATTTCAGAAAGTGGGATGTGGCGGCACAATGGCGGCTACCACGACCTGGAAGACCAGGACTGTCACTCTCGGTGACGCCACTGTAACGAAAATTCGTGACACCTACACTATGTGTAACGACTGGATTACGGTATCTTTTCGAATCGGATTTTCGGCAAAATGTCGCAAATTCAACCATTTTCAGGCACCAACGGGAAAAATAATCCAAATTCGAGTGACAGCCTTGAAAGATGTCAGATGTAAGAACGGCTGTACATTAAGCGCAATCGAGCCAAAAGTCATCGCTAATAAGGCCATGACGAGCCCGAGGTGACTCTCCGCTCCAAATTATATGTTACTTTAAAATAAAAATTTCCTACGCCAGGAGGGGATACAGTAATGGTGATCTTGTCCATTGCGTGAATTAAAATGTTAATAAGTGGGATTGTAAAGAGTAAGCGCGAGCTCTTATCTCAACTCCAGCGTAGAGCTCATTGTCACCGAACTGAACTGTCTGGCCTGATCCACAGAGGCTGCGCTGGTTATGTGAGTGTGACTTGCTCGTAAAACTTGAGCATCAGAGCAGCCTCAACGCCCGGGGTAGTGGGTCAAAGTGGCCGGAGACCTCATGCCTTGTTGCTACGATGCTAGTTCCTTGAACCTGTTTTACGAACAGATTGAAAGAGTGAGCATGTCAGCGCCAACGCATGAGGTCTCCGCTCATTTTGACCAGCTATCCCTGGCGTTGAAGCTGCTCCAATGCTCTGAGTGATTGTCACCCCATATGTACCACAGTAGGACGCGACCACGACCATCAGTGTCCTTTTGAAGATGAAAGCGACTTCTAAGATACATGTTCTTGTGTGATTTCAGGATCTGTTGTCCTGGTCAACTCAACCAGATCCTCCCGAGCAAGATCAACCCAACACCTGTGGTCACCTATAATCTTCAACATACATCTACATTTACTTACCAGTATAGGTATATCTGATTCGCATTTCAGTGAAGAGTTAGTTCGGAAATAAAGTTGTATCGGCAAACTGACAAGGGCTTGCGTGAGTGTTGTGACATTAAGACAGCTAAGGGAGGTATTCAAAAAAACATCTAAATTTCCAAAGCTTCGGCCTCGCGGTTCCATGCCGATATCTAACGATTACGGCTGACCGGCTCACCAAGTTAAACGTGTGAGTGCTGATAGGCTACGGCATAAAAGCCGTTAAGCTGAGAGGGTAAAAGCGGCCCTGGTGGCGTAACGGATAGCGCACTCGCCCGGAAAGCGGGTTCGACTCCCGCCTGGGGCACGACTTTTGCCCACAACTCAGCATTCTTGTGGTATTCACAGTATTCGAGCATTGTGCTGTGTTCATAGTTCTTCACTAACGTAGTTCTTCACTCAGTGCCGTGACTCAAGCATTGCGATACAAGGACCACACCCCACCGTTACAGTTGCATATTGAATCACGTTGTACAGGGTACAGCGTCGTTGTCTGAAACACGTGGGTTGGGGTAGCAGTTGCCGATGGGTAGGGGGATCTTATGTGCTTATGAGAAAAGCTGTTGTTCTCTTTGGGAACAAAGTTCCCGCGGTAGTTCACTGTTTCGCAGTTCCCTCCCCCCCATCTCCGTTCGTGACGAAAAATTTTTCGGGGAAAAAGCTACAGCAAATGTTGCAGGATAGTTTTTGGGAAAAACTGGCGGGAAGGTAGAGGCCTCAGCGCACACCTCCATTGTTGGCATATTTCCAACACGTTCGCTGCCGGACTAAAGTCCTACTTGTTTCGAAGCGCACCCTCCATTGTTGGCATATTTCCAACACGTTCGCTGCCGGACTAAAGTCCTACTTGTTTCGAAGCGGCTGCATTAAGAAGCCCCACCCAATGAGGGAAGCTCTTCTTTTCTCGCTCAGACCTAGCATATTTTTGTTGAATGTTCTAATTCAGGAGGCGAGTGTCTTGCTCATCGCTTGGGGGAAACCAGACAAGTGTATAAGTGTAAGTGTTCTTATATGACACTACAAGACTTAGATGAAATTGTTTTTTTTCGCTTTTTGCATTCCTTATGCTTTTCTTTTTTTATGCTCTTCTTCTATACAGCTCGTGTTCCAGCTACCTGTAACGGCTCGGCAACTACGGCTGTATTTAAGAATGGAGGGGCCCCAAATCCAAGAAATTGCACGGCATCTGCCCGTTCGGTTACGGTGGAATCCTTTGTGAACAGCGAGTAAGTGGCGCAACTTCTTAGTGAATCGACTGTGCCTTCTATTTGTCCATCGTGCAATCTATCTGGGGCAAAATCTTTCCAAAAAGTGGGATGTGGTGGCACAATAACGGCGGCACGGCTTGGAAGATCAGGACTGTCACTCTCGGTGATGCCACTGTAACAAACATACGTGCCACCTACACTATGTGCAACGACTGGATTACGGTATATTTGCAATCGAAATTATAGGAAAATGTCGAAAAACTATTTTCAGGCAGCAACAGGAAACACGATCCGAATTCAGGTGACAGCTTTGAAAAATGAACGGCTGTACATTAAGTGCAATTGAGCCAAAAGTCATCGCTAACAAGGCCATGACGAGCCCGAATTATTCTCCTTTGCAAATAATATATTATTTTCGAATAAAATTTTCTATGAAAAAAGGACACAAGGGATAATGGCGATCTCGTCCATTGCGTGAATTAGAATCTGGGAAGTGAGATTGTAAGAAGCAAGCGCTGGCATCTTATCTCAATTCCAGCGCAACTAATCCTCACCTAGACTAACCGCAAAGGCGCTGGAAGTGCGCATACCGAACGATTATCACCCTCAACGAGCAGTCAGTCGGCACGAGCACGACCTTCACTGTCTCTTGAGAGATCACTGCAATTCCTTGAATCTGAATTTCTATGTAATTCCAGCATCTGTTGTCCTGGACAACTCAACCAGATCCTCTCAAGCAAGATCAATCCAACACCTGTGGTCACCTACAATCTTCAGCATACATCTACATTCACTTACCAGTATAGGTATATTTAATTTACAATCCAATAAAGTGTTAGTTCTCCAGTGGAGTTGCATATCGGAACTCACAAATGTTGTGCGTATCTAACCGCAAGACAGCAAAGGAAAGTATCCACGACAGCATTCCAGCTTTGTGCTGTGTTCACAATTCGCGACTACTGCGTCTCAGCGCGACTCGAGAATTGCGAGATGAGGACCGCGCTCCGCTTTAAATGCCTGCACATTGAATCACACTCGGAATAGAAATTCGTTTACAGCGGTCAAAAAATTGCCGATGGAGCGCTGCTGGACACAGCCTGAGATACCAGGACGCTCTACTTGTCCGCGCCCTCTCGAAGGCACGGTTCGTGTTTAGGTATAGAAGTTGAAAATATGGTGCGGAGGTAGTGGTTCGCGACCAATACGCTATAACGCGGTTAAAGTTCACGGTTCAGATTCAGTGACGCCTCCTATTTTTCAGTGATTTCGCTGCCAGTCCTTGCCTTTCAAGGGCCGCCTTTCAATGAAAAAACGAATTTGAAAGAGCATGAAAATCGTCTCTTGCGGCTGTGAATTTTCGTCGGTGAACAACCTGTTGAGGGCACAGTGCTGGAAGATGAATTGGATTGGGCACACGCAAAATGGGATCAAAATGGGATTCTGTCTAGGGCAGGTGACCCGCTTTTCTGCTTTTTTCTTCACTTACGAGTTACTCCTCCTTATGCACTATCTGTGATGACGAGTAATCGCGGGCTCAAAACACCCTGATCGGAATCTTTGTGTGGAGCTGGTCTTCA